ATTATATAGTGGCATAAAATGCCGTAATATGCGCCTCTGCCTACCCCTTCAGGGATAAAAGGCGTGATATTATGTTATGTGTTAAAGACTCGCTACTTCTTGACGCGACAATTCATTTCCAGTTTTACCACCCACTAATATGAATTTATAAAAATAGAGATAAAAGAATTCCTTTAAAATTAATGAAGTCTTAATTTGTCCCTGTGATAAACTTTAATCTGTAACTTAATAAGTGTAGTTATAGCAACTATAACACTTATATCTCTGTAAACTGAAATCACCGATTTGCTTAAGCAAGCATGGTGATTGATGTTTATTCCCAAATATTTTCTTCTCACTATCTAACAATCTAAACTATCCCATTCGATGCCTAAAAGCATCAGTGGTGAAAATCTTCTCGTCAAAAAAGGCTCGTAAGTACTCATGCATTTTTTTCAATTGGGACAAGCCCGCCACAACCTCCCAAAACCGCTGCAACTCCTGTAAGCCGGAATCTACAGTAGATATAACCATGAAAACACCGGAACACTGAAGTCCGGCGCGTCCCAGGGACATGAATAACTGTCTTGGTTCCCGCAACGAAGTGAATTAGAAGATATTTTATGAGGAGAAAAAGAAAACTATAGTGCATGCTGATTACTCGTTGATTTATATATGACAACAAAAATATAATATATAGAATGTTACAAGGACTAAAAGGTCGTAAATATCGATACCTATCATTATGATAATGTAGTTAGAGATTTACTTATCAGTTGTCAGCCGATAAGGTCAACTGATAAGCGTTAGTTGTTGTACATTATGTATTAACCATCAATCGATACAATAACACGGCGAATTGCAAAAAATATGTAGGTATAAGTAGGCACTAAGGTGTAAGGTGAGGTTATTTTTTCTACGGGCCATAATTAACTGTTCCCAGGCAGCTTCATCCACTGCTCCGCTCCTATTGATTGTGATGTTTCCTAGCCTATAGTCTTCTGTTAATACCGAGGGCTATGCAACACAAAAATAATTATTCAATCCGACAAAGTAGGAGTTCGGTGACTAGCGCGGTCAAACAAATCAACTATGCAACTTTGTATATTTAGTACTAGCAGCTTCGCACGGGGTAGACAATTATTTATTTTTGGAATAGTTGTAGTGACATAACTACAATAGTTGGACATATGCTACCGCGGAGTTTTTTGTAGACATTATGATGTTCTTCAATATTGTTGTACATTATTTTGTTCTATCGCTAATAGTTTCGACAGCCCATTCGACAAAAGACATTTTAAGACTAATTATTTTACACCTTCGGTTACATTGTTCAAATTTTACCAAGGATTACTAATTTTTTTCAAAATGAAATATAGTCTATGTCAAATTGGAAGAATGTTGCATTCTATTGGTGAAAGAATTTTTAAATTGGCCCTGTACTTTTTGAGCCTATTCATTACGAACATACAAACATACAAAAATAGGTACAAATCTTTCCTCTTTATAATATTAGTATAGATATATGTATAAAGAAAAACAGATGAGATGCAGAGACTTAAAGTTATAAATTAAACAAACAATAGTGCCGCCTCTGAACTGTATTCTGAAATAAATCACTAATCGATGCTTCATATTTTTCAGCTGTATCACTTTCCTTCGAAAACATGCCGAGGCAGAAGGATTTCGGATGCTTATCACTTAGATTTGGGTGCATATTCTCAGCTCTAGTCACTATTGTAAGTATTGCTTTATTAAATTGTTCATATGTAGTAATTTAAATTAATTCAGAGAAGTGGTGGGATGAACTTGACGCCTATGACAAGGAATGGTTACAAAAAGCAATTAGAAGAGACTAGTGGAAGAAAGGTCTATACCCTTTGGCCTTTGGCCTTTGGCCTTTGGCCTTTGGCCTAGCGGGACGACCTTGGCCAAAAATAAAATAAAATAGTGATGGGCTTACTGCCCAGTCCTTTAGAACGGAAACGTGTGATAATATTTTGATTGTTACTCAAATATTTTCATTATTTACACTTTCGAAAGAAAATGTCCCCACTCCGTCAATAAGAAAGATTAAATTGTTATGTTTGTCAGTCTGTCTGTGAATGTAAAGCTAAACATCTAAACTAATTCAAGCCTACCAATCTCAATTAAGTAATATTTTTATTTACTACCTGGATTATTATACCATAAACTGTTGATTGGCGATATGCCGTTACGTTCGCCTTATGTTCTATTATTCATTGTTTGGTGTACACTAAAGTTAATAATTTAACCTTTATTTTCCAGCTATACACAATTCTAGCACTAGCACAATGTCTGGCGTCCCTCGACAAAGAGATCCCGACGTCAATAGATACCAATAATCTAGACAATATCCTCCTCCACTGCTTCGAAGTAGCAGTCATCGTCTGCCATATTGTGACTCTCATACTAACCACCATCATGCTGGTTGGAGTCTTGAAGGTAAATTGTTTTTTTTTATTTTTTTTTATTAGCTTCTGCCCGTGCCTTCGCCCGCGTTGCTGTAAGATAAAACACGTAAAAATCTATGTGTTATTCTAGACTATATTTATCCGAAGCCGCGGAGAACCTAACGGGTTACCGGAGCTCCGGCTCGGAGGGCAGGAGCAGGAACGCTGTGGTTTTTAGTCAGCAAGAGCATGACACTCCCTCCCGCATCACCCAGGCGGGAGAAGATATTCGATGATTTTCCCCCCTAAAAAAATTCCTGTTCCAAATTTCAACCAGATCCATTCAACCGTTTTGACGTGAATGACTAACAAACATACAAACAAAAACAGAAATTCAAAAACTCTTGCATTTATAACAATAGTAAGATGAAAGGACGGCCAACGAGCAGATGGGTGACTTGATGGTAAGCAATCAGTACCGCCCATGGACATCCGAAACACCAAACGAAGTAACAAGTGCGATTGAGGATTGAAGATTAGGTCTTTGAGCCAGTCCAGTTTAGTTAAATTCTTCTGTATATTCTCATCAACAGTTGTATGTCACCCTCATGTGTCTTCTCTTATTTTGCTCTCAATACTAAATGCCATTTCTTTTTTTATAAATCATTCGCTTTTTTGATCAGATGTGCAAAATCAATTAAATGTTAGGTACTGTTTTGGCTTTGATATATTTGATACACCGGTGTCCTCGCGGTGTTTGACAGTTTAATTTAGGTCTTCTTTGAAATAGTAATAGTAACATTATATAAAAAAAAATGAATCCCGTTTCCCGTTCCCACGCCATAACTTGAGAACAGCTAGACCCATTTGGCTGATCTTTTTTTTTTGTTGTGTTTGTTATTGTCAAGAGAAGGTTCTTACGACAGAAAAATCCTGAAAATCCTACGGGAACGGGAAAAAACAGGATTACGCATACGAAGTCGCGGGCAGAAGCCAGTAGCAACAATAATAATGACTTCTTAAACATTAAACTGTCAAACACCAAGCGGTCACCGGTGACCGCAACCTATTGTTCTTTAATTGTGTCTATAAATACGGTACTCGACGAGTTAAGAACACAAATAACGAGTATCATCAGGTACATAGATGACTATGATATTAATGTAATTTTGTTAATTTTCCAGGAAAAGTCTTACCTCATGAAGCCCTGGTTGGTGTGGACGTCTTGCCTGGTGTTAGGCAACCTGTTCCTGATCGTCTTCTGCACAGTCCTCATGATGGTCTTCAACAGACTGGACGTGGAACCTGGACTATTGGTGTCGTACTTGGTGGCTTTCCTTGCACTCCGTGAGTATCTTGAAATACCTATATATTATTTACATATGATGTATCACATCAATGGAATGAGCACTGAAGAATCAAATAAAGGGTTTATATATATATTGATCCTCATTAGAATTTTCGTCTGTGTTGTCGATGCGTTTACAGACAAAATCAAATACCTACCTCACACTTTATTCTGGAATGGTCACAATTAGATAATTATCTGTTTCTACCAATTTACTAATCACTGTGGTGTGATGGGACTTTTGTGAATATCTTCGAATTACAATTAGTTAAGTATTGTGTTAAACGTTTTGAAAATATCAATAAATTAATTATTATGATGTATCTTTTTTCAGTTTTCCGAATCTACATGTTGACTTTGGTTGGAAGTTTCTACTTGCAATTAGAAGAGGAGAAAATTGAGCGCCTGCGGACATTACTCAACACGGATACTTGGCACAGCGCTGCGTAACGTTGCTATTTAAAATGTTCAGGCGCTTCGAGGAATAGTCGAATTTTTAAAGAAATTATTAAAGCAAACATTGCGTGAAAAAATGTAGTCACAGGGTAATAATAGAGTGAAATAAATTCAATCATGTACCCTGACATGTTGTGATCAGTTAAGTAGTAATTATGACTAATTAATTAAGATTTATTGACAGTATTTTTAAGAATGATATATATATGTAGGCACCTAAATGTGATTTTAATGTTTATTCTGTTGCAGTAATTGCAACGAATAATTCTTCAATGTTTGTGGTCCTTGTAAATATATTTAACGCCAAAAGGTAAATACATGTAATCTTAAGTAATTTAGAAATAAAAGATTTATTAATTTTATACATTTTTTATTCTTCATAAGTAACAACTTGAATGTTCATTATATACAAAAATATATTTTAATTTTTTACAAATGAAAACTCTATTAGTTTTTCAGTAATATCATTGAAAAAAATATCTATTGACAAAGTCACATCTTAAAAAATATACTTAATTTTATTTTTAGGCCAATATAATATATATATATATATATATATATATATACAATATACCTAGAGTCCCCGACCTTATGAAGAGACGCACCCTCATTTATTTTGTTCAAATAGTAATTAACGATGCGTTCATGATTCACTACTTTATACATATTTTTATATTAGATAATTGTAATATAAACATATTATTAAAATAAATATTTTATTTAGAATAGTATTTTTTGCTTTAATGTAAGTTCATAATTTAAAATTACAATTAATTTTCACAAGGCATTATTAATGCCTTGTGAAAATATACTACTGTAATATATATAATTTCTAAAAATACATTAACCCATTTGGGACCAAATACAAACTACACATAATTTAATAAAAAAAACTTTATTAACTCAATGATATGACGCCCACAAACTAATATCAGCAAAAAAAAATCAAAAAATATATTTAGAAGTATTAAAAAAAATGCCGTCCTTGATTGGGGACAATGGGCTCATGTGTAGTACTTTTCGAAGTAGTAACTGTTTTCGACACATAAGGTTCTAACGCATTATTCGCATTGATATCACAGTTTTTTTATAGCGAACTGCGTGTCGTAACAGATATTAACTAAATCTCTGCGGAAAATGTCTAAATCAATTTGATGTGACGCGCCTATATTTTTTTTTAGGGTAAAAATCATGCATTGCGTTTTCCACCTGGGGGACTCTTACTAGCTAAAAACCAACACGTTCCTAATTCTGCTTCAAGCCGAAGCCCCGGTGACCCACTAGGTTATTCATAGTAGTCGGGCATCTGTCCCGCTGAGCCATCTCGATCTAAGGCGGTCTGATCTGCACTTTGAAGCACGCGCGTAACGCCACGCGCCTTACAGGTACAGGTTTGGTTCTGGGCGGTGATCTGTTCTTGCTACTATGACTGCTTCGCAGAAAGAGATGTTTTCCAGTTCCCCTCGCTCCACACCACAGCCAGAACCTAAGCTGGACGTGGAAGATTATCGTCATCGATCACTTCCCTGAAGACACGGCAGTGGTCAACATATACAGGGCATAATGCTACTCTATCCTCTGGGTGGACTTCGCTGTGACGACACCAGAATACAGCTGGAGGAAATGCCCTCTACTGCTGAATTCTGATATCGGATGCGACGCCTGGTACTGTAGGTGTACTTTTGCATCTTCGGTCTTGATGCCCACCAGATTTTAGAATATGAACGCCTAAAGATATGGCGGAATTGGTGATGCTCTTCGTGAATTAGCGTCTGTTGTTACCAAGTATTAGCTATAACTAAGTTTAGTCTATAGGTGACCTTTATAAATTGGAAAACAAAATACAAATCAGGTATAAATGTTTTAAAAATATACTACAGATGTGCCCATTGTCCCCATACGGGGACACCATCATTTTTTCTAACTTTCCCCTAAGCGGAATTGAAAGTATAAGGATATTCTTCAATATTGTTTTAATTGACACTATAAG